TGTATTTTAATGCAATGAAAGTCATACATAAACTCTTGCAGGCCTGCCTGCTCCAACCTCCAGAAAGAGTCCTTGGCGACTGGTTGGGTCGAGAGCTCAGTTGAATATCAATTGGCTGTTGATACAAGTTGTTGATGCCTTGGCTTGCAATGTTTTACAACCATGACTTGTCAAGTCCACATGTTAAATTTAGTAGTATTCATGAATTTCATTGTGGATTGCTTCCGTAGCTCACATGACATCTTGGGTTTGACGCTTGCTGCAAGAAATGCGCGCACACCTTTTCACCTCTCTCGCATCGCACGCTACAGCTATGGTTTGGAATGTCCCGGCATCAATCCCTGGACATGCATCCACTGCAAGTGACATTCATCGCAGGTATGGTTGCGATGCTTGTAGTAGGTACGGCCGATGCGGGCCATCCTCTCTATCCGCGTGCACCGGGCCCCACAATCGCATGGCACCATGCAGCGGAACGATGGTGTTCCTGGCTGCGCTCCTGGCAGCGGCCCTGTGAATGACACCGGAGCTGGAGGTGGTTGAGGAAGTCCTGCATCGCTGATCGCCTGTCGCGCCTTCTCCTCGTGAAGTTGCGCTTGCGTTTTCTGGGCCCGCTTTGCTGCCTCCACCAGCTTGTTGATCTTCGCCTGCTCAGCCTCACTCTGCGTAGATGCCGAACACACGAAACCCGATGCCGATGCCACCGCTTCTGGCTCCTGCCCTTGTTGTTCTTGCTGATGATCCGGCTCTTCCTTCTCTGCCAGCTCTGCCTGTGGCTGTGGCTCTGCCAATGGCTCTGTGTCATCCTCCTTCTCTGACTTCACCTCCATCGCAGGCCCTGCCACTGACGTCTCTGGTTCAGCTGAGGCTGAATCTGGTCCAGCTGAGGCTGGCTCTGGTGCAGCTGAGGCTGGCTGTGGTCCAGCTGAGGCTGTCAGCTCTGCCGCCCATTCTTCACATTCTTTCTGCAGCGCCTGCGCATGCTGTTCGGAAATCTCCGCACAGGTCTCGCAAACCCGTTTGTATCTGCGATTCGCCTCCTGAACTTCTTGTTCAGCCTTGTCACAGATCCTGCCCTGCTGATCGACCTGATCCTGGGCCATCTGAAGAAGTTGCTGGGCCTCTCCATACTTCTGGCAGAGTTCATCGTATTCGCGCTTGGCCACCCGAAGGCGTTCCTTCGCCTTGCCCTTCCCTTCTTGCCAGCGGACCAGCTGCGCTTTGAGCTCTTCAGATGTGAGCATGGCTACCAGGTTGATGACACACACAAAGCAAATTGACATGTGATGATTGAATATTGACATCAAACATAATAAGGCATAGTGTCATGTCTTCATCGAGCCAAATTGACAAGACAGAAGGTAGTTGTTTGCTGAACATGCGCAAAGACTCAACCAAGTTTTTGTCAAATCTAGAATCTATAAGATGTCCTTCTCAATTACTTGCCGTTGCACATAGTGGCCAATCCATGCCAAATGCAAGCTGTGACCTTGCAACTCAACAGAGCGCTGGCTGGTTGGCTGAGGTTCTGACCGGTGTCTCTTCGTGATCCATGGAGGTTGGGGCCTGAGTTGTCGCAACAGCAAGCCCCACAACTTTCACAAGCTCGATTGAACCGGACGACAACCACATGCTGAAATTTGTCTTTGGAACATTTTGGAACAGTGAATTGATCAAGGGGCCCAGCTTGTGATGAACGTTGCCGCCCAAAAGCTGCTTAAGCTGTTTGAGCAACCACCCAAAACAAGAAGCAAAGATTGTCAAGCAACATGCAACTGTTTTTCCAACTCTGTCAATGACAAAACAGCTTGTTCGGTGTATAAGCAAGCCAGGAGTACCAGTGTGCACTACCCCAATGCCACCATTCAAATGGATACCAAAGCCAAAAGCTCTACACAACACAATCAGCACCAAGTGATCAACTGCTCGGTACAGCTAAACATGCCAAGGGGGTGTCACTGTCAACATAGAGTGTGAACGTTTTCCGCTCTGAGGCTGCCACCAAGCACGCTGTTCTTTGCAAACAGGAGGCATGGCTGACAAACTGTTGAATTGCTGAACAAATTTGAGTGCACATAGCGCTACGCAAGACAAATTAGGACATGCTGTCATGTTGCTAGCTCTAGGCTTCCACCATTGCACGGCTAAGTGCATGGGCTGCAAAGTTTGCACAAGCAGGCATCACTATGTTGCCTAAAGCTGTCAGGCGTTCGCGATCATCCTCATCCAGCTCATGCTGCAACCACCGCTCAGGTGATATTGGGATCCCCCACGGCTTGGTTGGATACTGGCGCAGGTCTTGCTGTGTCATCAATCTGCTTGTGTCCTGCCAAGGGGATGCGTACAGACAACAAAGCATTGCAATCAGATTGAGTACCATGCCTGAGCAAACACAAAGCCTGGCTTGCAAGCCAAAATGAACACCCTCTTGCGCCACACCTCAACATGTCATGGTAAGGACAGCCTGGCGCTCAAACAATTATATATCAAGATAGTTTCTGGGTTTGTGGCTGGCGCGCCAACGCAGTGCCCGGTCACGCTGATCCATCTGACATGGAAACCTCTGCGAATGAGCTCCTGACAAACATGCCAAACTACTTTTTGTGCTAGACCCCCTTCAAAATACATGAAAGGCACATGGCTTCCCAGCAGTCTCCCGTAGAATGTGTTCCCAGAAGTCTTCCATGTCTTTTGAGAGGAGGTGATGCACATTCTCCAACCAAACCCAAAGCCTGAAGTGACTTAAGGAGAAATGAACAAGTTCCAACCAAGGACAAGTCATCGAATGAACACACATTACAAACTGTTGTGAACAAGGCCAGAAAAGATCTTCCATGTATGCAAGGCACGGGTTGTCCAAACAGTCCAACATCTTCCAAATGTATGTCACAAGACCAGACTGATGGTCAAGAAGCCCGGCTTTGGATCCTGCTTTGCAAATGCCCTTAGTTTGAAATTCACGACAAGTTCAACCTGCATGCTTCCACAGTCTAAGTGTAGCAGTAACAACGAAACAACAACATGAAACTCATGCATATTGCTAAGGATCTTGACATGGAAACCCTGCGCAGATCCCAGTGCAGTCCCTTCTCATGGTCGTTGTGGGCATGAATGTTGTTACATCTTCATACAATGGGGCAGCGTGGGCAACCCCCTGGTCCATGTTCTTCTGGATGATGCGTCGACAAATGGGCTTGAACTCAACCTCAAAGTGTGACGTGTGACATCCCTCAGCCAACATCAACGCTAAGGCATAGACATAGGCCTGCGGAACCACAAACCTGAGCGTTGTCAACGAGCACCATTGACTGCAGACTGAACACGTGCACCACGTTGCAACAAAGGCGGGTTTCAGTGCCCAACCCAGCCAGACCGAGCTCCAATCCGAGAACGCCGGTAAAGAGGCTCAGGCATTTGTGCTGTGCAACCTCACATGCACATGCAGGTGAAACAAGCACATGTTGACCTTGCATCAGGTGACTTCAAAAATACTGCAAACATGTTTATTGTGCCTGTCATGAAGTTTAGTGACCGGCTCACCGACCCAAGGGCACAAACGTGCAACGTCTTCCTTTTTGACCAAGTCTGTAGGCGAGCTCCAATTCTCTGGCACCCCTGCCCAATATTCCCATATCCGACAAGTGGAACAAATTGACACTGGGATTGATAATTTTAACAAACATGCCTGACAGGTGCTCTGCAAAAGGCAATGACAAGTACTTGCCCTTCTTTTGGTTGTGTTGTTTGCACGCCGCGGAGTACTGTTTGCTGTGGAACAGCTGAGTTGCCAGGTCCTGCACCAAGGTTTCAGGTCTATAAGAGTGACAACTAAGTTGGAGGCGGTCTTCATTGTGTCCTGCTTGCCACGCTGAGACAGGTAGCGGCTGTTCGCTGTCCATGTTGCTGAGAAACAGCCTCAACCAACCATGCAATGAACCACCAGTCTACCAAGCCAGGCAACCAAGCACTTGGGCACCAACGCAAGCAACCCAGTGAATCGAGCTTCATGTTCTTTTGCACCAGCTTGACGCCCACATCTTCTTCCTTCACCTTCTTAGTTGCAACCTGGGATGACTCTGCCAACTGCATGTTCATGTGTGGTGTTGAGAACTCAAACGTGCAAAAGTGTCTGCGGCTCATGCTGTGTTGTGCTGTGGCAACAAAACATGCAAGCGTTGTCAAGATACAAGCTCCAGCGCAAGCTTGGTCCGAGGGCTTTGCGGAAAGCAACATGGCCTCCAAACCTTCATGCCGGCGGGGCCATCGCAGAAGCCGTGCTGAGGTGCCTTGCCGAGCTTCATCTCCCCACCATCCATGTCATCACACCTCAAACAAAACCCGGTAACCACAAACAACAACAACAACAACAACAAGCAAGTAAAGCATGCAAATCATCACATCCACAACACCAACTGTTTCATCCATAAGCCGCCCACTCACTCAAAGTGTCCACGGAATCCAGGGGCATGATGGCTCAACAACTCGATCAACAAAACGGCACTGCAGCGAGCGTTTTTGGTGTTCATGTCAAGATGGCCATGTTGTGAGCCAACACATGACCTCAAACCTTACAACTACCTTGTACCCTGGTTACATTTTTGTACCCCGGTTAGGTGGCAAATGTTTTAAAGGTGTATGACCCAAAAGGTGTATAACTCATGCTAGTTAGGAAATCGGGTCAAACTACCTTTTTTGGTCGACACCGCATCATCGATCATCGACACCGGGTGCCTTCCCCACAAATGTCCGGTGATGTGGGTCGCATCATCTTGGTCGATGGATCGTTGACTTTCCCACATTCCCCCAAAGTCAGGTGACACTTGGATTTGCTTAAAGAATCTGGAACAAGTAGAACATATATGAACATGTAACATAGTCCACAGGAGGGGCCTACTAAGGGCCTACTACAAACCAGGAACGTCCACCAAACATCCATTGTCCCAACTGCCCGATGTCCTGGTCGGGCAGGGCGGCCGGCACTTGACCCAGGCGGCCCCGGCTTGACCCAGGCGGTCTCCTTGCGCCGGGCCTCGACTGGTGGCACCCAACAGGACGTCACCTGAGACCAGCTCCGGGCACGCGCGAGTCTCGAGGTCATGGGGTCGGGATCCCTGGGTTATCAAGCTGGTGAGGTATGGTGGGACTTGTTTGCAGGAATGAACCTGTTCGAGGATCCAGGCTGCGCAGATTCTTTTTCTATTGGGCCTTCTACCCTGGATCTGAGGATCTACTTCGGCATGTTGCTGATATCCGGATGGATCTCGATGTCTACCGGTCTACCGCACCTCTCCAAAGATCCAAGTCCACGAGCCGATCACCGCAGCTCCACGAGCCTCTCCGAACTGTGAGAACATGCTCTTGAGGGACATCCGACCTGAAAACGATGGTGAGACCGTGGCGTGCACGTTTGGTGCACATATAGTGCGCATGAAGGTGCGATCATCTACCATCCGAGGTCGGTGATCACACAGAAGTATTTTTACTATAGTATGAATATCATATATATGCTTATACGAGTATGATATGTGCATTGTTTTAAATTAGGCTAAGCTGTATAAATGTGTGTGTTAGCGTGTTAGCGTGCATATATGTCGACTATCTTGTGACCACCCGCGAATGTACAAAGCTTCAGTCCACAGTCTCGGACCCGGTCGGCCCGGTCGTTGGCCCGGTTTTTGAAGTCTTTTTGCCCCTAGTAGCGATGCACTTGTTACTATAGTTATGTAAGTAGCTTCTAGCTACAGCTACTAATAGTATTCGGGCAAACTTTTTTGGTTTGGCCCCCCTTTGCAGAACCCACGCATCGCAAACAAGTCTTGAGTGGCACATGCTGTCCAAGAATATCAGCAGAACTCAGGTTGACCAAATGGTCTGGTTGACCATGGTGGTCTGGTTGACCACATAGCTTGGTGGACGGACACCGACCGGGCCCAGCCGAAACATGCAATGCTCGGCACAACAGTTCGGACCTTCTGGGGCTTTGCCAACCCGGGCCCTCACCGCCCTGGCGGAGGTTAAGGCCATGCGCTCAGAGCGCGACTCGTGACTTTCTCGGTGTCCCGAACTGGAGAACTCGGTAATGCCCGCGGTCAGGTTCAGCGCCAGCCGCGCCATGGTCGAACGGCCAAGTCACCGGTGCCGTTGTCACCGGTGCGCGGGCTGGGCGGGGCGATCTGGTGGTCTGTGCAGAGTTCACCTCCTGAGGTTTCTTACGACTGCGCAAGTAGGGTCGTTGGACACTTGCTTGGTGAAAAAGTGGACATCTTTGATGGAGAAGTCATCTGGGCGAAATTGCTTTGTTTGGAGTTTGGAGTCTACAGTTTGCCTATCGAGTTTGGAGGGACTGGAGGGACTTTTCATCGGCCAAAACGAAGAATAGTGCGGTCCCATCGGTGAATGTGCAAAAACAGCCATAGCCTTGATGGGATGACGGACGCATGGATTCCAACGAACCTTTGAACAACAAGTTTACACCGTCTGATTGAACATGATTCAACAACTATGGAGACATTCAGCGTGAAGCTCTGATTCATCCATGGCAGCCCGTTCAATTGGAACCATCATCTCTGAGAGCCACGCAAACAAGGCGGGATTTGTTGCAAGACGTCTCAGCCAAGATTCCAACTAAAACGGTCATTAGGAGGGTTATCTATGGGGGTCAGCGTAAAGAATCTTCACTTTGCTAAATGGGCGATTAGTGCAAAAACCTTCTGAGTTACTCAGCAATCACGTTCATCACCAACAGGATTGTGAAATCGAAACATTCTGGGACAAACATCCAATCTCTTATCCAACGCTCTCTGCCAGCTCTGCTTCAATGAGTCCACTTCGTTCTCTGGGCTTGGAAAAGGGCAACGATGACAACTAGGGCAGTCGACAAAAGCGAAAATGGGCTGTGACTGGCTGGTTGTAAAAGCATGGCTTGTTGCTGGTGGTGGTTTGATTGTCCTTCCCAGTTGAAGGGCACTGATCAGACCTGTTTGGAGGAGAATGAAGAGCACTGAAAAGGAGAGGGATCCAAAAAAAGCGCCCAGCAAATTCCTTGCCCAGCTCGGTTCTCTTTTGGGCCATCTTCAAATTGTGGCACACAGGAGCCCTTAAAGCGACTGGCGACACCATGAGCATCTTGACCTTGGAATGATCAGTTATTGCCTACAAATGCCACGTGGATGGTGGGACCAAACGCTACAAACGCCCCGTCCAAAGTCGATGGGTTGAGCTACCAGGGGCTCAAATAGTCTGAGCCTTAGGAATTCCAGGAAGCATGGATAACAGTGGATTCTTGATGGTCTCTCCTGGTCTCCAAGTTGCTGTTCTTGCGGCTCACTTTGAAGAAATCGTTCCAAGACCAAGATCCACTTTTGGTGCCTCTCAGTATCTTGCGGCTCCTGGCCATCGGTGAAGGACACACAAACGTATACAAAGCACACAAACAATAGAAGTTACATTACAATTCTGAAGTTCTTGATTTACAAAAGCATCGTTTGTGTGCTCTAGTCAAGCTTCAATGCCTAAGTACCCCATTTGCTATGGTGGTTCTGAGCAAAACAGTTCCCCTTCTAGGTCTTGAAGCACGCCTCCAGTTGGGAACACGAGATGCATGTCCTTTTTCACACAGGTGCACAAGTTGGTGAGTGTGAATGAGGAACTTTGGGCATACCTGGCTAGAGTGACAGTGACCTAGGAACGCCAACCTAACCCATCTCTGGGTAAATCCTGCCTGTTTTCCACGTCCTGTCAAACTGCTAAAGGCAAAAAAAACATGCATTTCTTCCCCTATACTCCCACGACTGCTTTTCGTGGCTGGCAAGTGACCGTGGCTCCAAAGTATAGAACCCATGTCAGTTTTACTCTTACAAATTCCTTAATTATCGGTATGTTTGAGCCATGGCGCTCGGAAAACAGCAATTCTGTGTGAACTCAACCACACAAACTGCTCAAAATCGCACAGACTTTGCAATGAATAATTAATAAACATGGCCTGAATGGTAAAGTGATTGCTTGTCTGAAAAGATGGCCATGTATGGCCCCGTCCATCCTCTCCAGAACACATACCAACGCCCAACGCCCTTCGCACCTGGCAGTCGGCCCGTGCTCTCGGTGTACCGTACCACACTGTCCCACCTTGGCGTTGGCGGGTATGGAGGATCAAAAGGGACATCCAGCCACAGAAGTGTAACGGAGCGAATGTTGGAGTTTCCTCAGTTTCCTTGCTTGGAAACATGACACCCCTCCTCTGGAAGGCTTTTGGGATTCTTCCTGAACATGTCCCGGGACGGCCTCGGAGTGTCTTGAAAGGTGGGAGGCAAAAATAGGGAATGCAATGCTGCGAGCATATGAGCTGCAAACAAAATGACTTATGTAGCCAAAGGTCACCATATTGTTTTGGGAGAAATAGATGTTCTGTACTATGTTCTGTTCAATGGATGCCCTGAAGGAGCCTTGTTGCGGGCCCTATTCCCACCCTGATGGCAATTGCTCAAGGGCAAGGCCAAGTGCAATGAAGTCGAAAACCATTCACTGCGACAACTGACCTTGACCCGAATCTAGTCTTCCATGGACATTCCCCTGGTCTTTCACCATATTGGTGCTGGCTTTATACTCTCTCCACCCACGAAGCCAGCTCGATCGAATCCAGTTTCGGCACAAGCATTTCGGATGAGATTGGTCTGACCGACAAGGAACTCTCTGCTTTGGTGTTTTGGTTGGGCCACATCCAGCCAAATCCGCTTCTATGTCAATCCCATTTTTGAAGCTGCTCATGTCACAAGCTAGTCTCACAAAAAGGCATCAAGCCACGAATGATGTATAGGTTTCCAGTCTTTGCACTTGCAGTTCAGTCCAGCGATGTCCAGCGAGATCTTTGATACCTACTTGACCATCACCACCTGGTTGTTGGTGCTTGTTCAATGGGTCTGCTATGGTCTACCGTTGACAAGCTCGTCATCCACACCTGTTCCACTTCTCATGAACTGTTGTAGTCGTGGGGGATGTCCCATCCATGCGGATCTTTTTGAGAGGCTCAGAGCCCTATACTGTTCACCCAAACGGAATCTTCACCTCTATAACCAAAGTATAACTATATATATATATATATGTTGCCACTGTTTCTGTTTGCTCTTCTCAGGAGAACGTCCGCCCC